TTCTCTCCGACCAGGCTGAACCGAACGGCCACCAGTGGGTTGACATAAGTAGGCTGTAAAAGAAAGAAAGAAAGAAGAAGAGGCAGAGTGTTGGTTCCTTACCCAAGTGCAACATAAGAACGAGGGTACCTGAACAGAAAAAAAAGTGCTTATGATGTGGCACCGAATCATCTCAAGACTCTTATGATAAAATAATGGTAGAGAACCTGCAACAGTATAAATAAAAAACTCCAACAATCCAACAATCATCAGTGAACAAGCACTCAACAAAGAGGATTGTGAATTCGGTGTCCATATCTGACATCCAGAGATCAAAGCAAATGAGACACGATGTTTCTAATTTTAGCACTTCTGTGCATGTGAACAAAGGGAGACACAAACATTCGTTTAAAGAGCGAGTTCTGGTCAAAGCACTGAAGATCAAAGTAGTTCCACCCAGAGTAAATGTCTGGCTGTGTTTTAGGGCCAAATACCATAACTGTAGTTTTGTTTGTATTTGGCTCATCCAGGCCATTATAGATGAAAATCCCAGGGTGTGATCTCCATAGCAAAATAAAACGCCTCTAGTGTTTTCCTATATTTAGCCTTTATTGGACAAAATGGTTGAGAATGGGCAGGAAATTTGGTCCAGGCTGAATTAAACCCAGGTCTCTGCAGCCTTTCAGCACATAGCCATGCTCTGCATCCTGTATGCTCCACTAATATGTTTCATCTTTGTTCTTCAGTTCAACTCATGTTATCAAATTAAGTAAGTAATGAGGTTAAGAAAGCACAGAGTGACCAGTTTCATTATTTCTGTGTATCAGGCTGGTGTTTCACCCTTTTTATGTATTTGTGCTAAAAGCAAATGAAGGTTACTGTACATGGAAGAAGCCTCCTGAATATTAGATCATTATCTGCTGTCTTACCTGTGCTAGATTTCCATAGTATGGGAAGTAGGAGGGATCCATGATTCCACCGTCTGGGAAATACTCTATTTTTGCCACACTGTCCTCTCCATCCTACATCCAAACAGAAACAGAGTTTTATTTTATTGAAAGAAGATCTTGATTCATTTTGTGAATCTTTGTTAAACTGTGGCTGATGAGTTTAAAAGGCAGGAGATTAACAGACAGGAAGCGTGTGATGGAAAGAGCTGTGAAAGGTGGAAAATGTGTTGAATCCAGTGTTTTTCCACAGTATAGAGTCACCCTATACCCACTACTTTTTTCAGATATTATACTACTACTTTACTACTTTAAAGTAACTGCATGCAGCTCACCAGTATGGTGCAGTTCACATATGGGGGCCGAGCGGTGTTATTAGAAGGCAAAAAGTCAATAATCTGCAGACAAAACACAACATTTGCTTTTAGTTCTGGTTATTATATGATGTCATTGCTTTTCTAGCTTAAATATCCTGACAGAGTGAAACCAAACGCACCCTGTTCATCTTGATGACGACACAAGGCATGGTGCTGTTGTAGCCAAAAGTCGGATCCTCAATTCCAGAGCAGGGTCCCAGCATGCTCTGCGTGAAGGGCAAGCCCACTTGGTGTGGTGGGGGCAGAGAAGGTCTTCTGGATGAAGTACTTCCCCTTGGTGCAGTTGTAGTTGTTGCACTCCAGCTGCTTGGTGTCATTGTAGGCTAAAAGAGAGAGGTGAAAACAGAGCCAGGTGTCTTTTTTTAATTTTCTTTGACATATGTGCACATTAAAAGTTACATAATGCAGAATAAATCGTGTATGGGAACACTAACGCTTCAGGAAGTCGTGAAGGATGTTGGCCATTTCCATACAGCTGGCCTTCTCTGACGTGTTGTAGGAGATTTCAACGTCTTCCTCTCCGTATGTGTCCGGCCACACCATCACCCCTGAGTGGGAAAGCAGATGCTTATGAGGCACTGAGATATCTTTTGTGATTATTTATGTATTTATGTATTCATGATTTATGTAACCTGGTGATGTTAGTCGATCTTGGTAGTCAGGTTTGTAGGGACTGATGGTGTACATGAGGACCCAGATCGCCAAAGAAAAGAGCCCCGTCATGATGACGTAGAAGGCCACATAGTACAGACTAATGTACACTGTGAAGGAAGGAGTTATTAACACACCTTTATGGGTACATCACTAAGTGTTTTAGTTATCAATGTTGCTCACTCTGAAGCTTGGAAAATCAGAGTGAGAGAAAGAATATTTACTGTACACACTAGCAAGGCAGCTCTGCCTAATGTGGAAACGCAGAGGTCAAGATGTCCTCTGCTGCTGCAAACTGAATTTAATCTCATTGTAAGGTCAAGCAGAGAAGGGTGCACAAAACTTATCATTACTTATCTCTCGCTGCTCTAGGAGTGCATGACATGTGACTGGGATCACGCGTGTCTTTCAGCAACACACACACACAGATACTGTTGAGGCCTTTTATGTTTTATGTGAAAGAAAAACAACTACACTCACCGGCCACTTCATTAGGTACAGCCTTTCAACTGCCCTTTAATGTAAATGTGTAACGAGCCAATCGGCCCTGACTTATATGATTTAAAGAGGGTTTACAGAGAAAGGGCCGAAAACAGAAAACATCCAGAGAGTGACAGTGCCTTGTTGATGCCAGAGGTCAGACTGCTTTAAAGTGATAGAAAGGAATTAGTAACTCAAATATTTACTTGTTACAAGCAAGTTCTGCAGAAAAGTACCTCTGAAAGACAGCAAATTAAACCTACAACAACATAAGATCACACTCGGTGCCATTCCTGTCATCAAAGAACAGGAAGCTGAGTTACAGCTTCACACAGTTTCAATTTCTGCTGTGACATTTGAATCTAGGGTCAGAGCCCTCAACACACCAAACCTTAATGGTAGCAGATGGGCTACAGCAGGAGAAGACCAATCTGGTGCCATTCTGTTAGCTAAGAGCATGACCGAGGCTACTTAACGGATGGAAGAACTGGTCAGTAGAAGATGGAAAAATGTTTCCTGGTCTGATGACTCTCGTTCAGCTACATTCACATTTAGGGTCAGAATTTAGCATTAACACCATAAAAACATGGCTCCATCCAGTTCAGGATGGTAGTGGTGTAACAGCATGGGGATACTTTCTTGCACGCTTTGGGCATCTTAGTACCAACTGAGCTTCATTTAAACACCACAGCATTCCTGAGTATTCTTGCTGACCACATCAAATCCTTTATGAGGACAGTGTGCTCATCATGCGCACCATGTCACAAAGCTCAGATCACAGCAACAATTCAAAATAAAATACAGACAAAAAGAAAAGAAAAGATTTAAAGGTTATTAGGACAATTTTTAACATGTAACTTGACTGAATGAGTGCTATCAGCATGTTTTAAATAATCTGAAAAATACTTGTTGCAAGCGGTTTAAAAATTCTAGTCTATTTAATGCAGGAGAGGTTAGTGAAGTCATGTCCTTGTTACCCCATTTCTCTGGCGTTCTTCCCATAAACGTCCCATTTTCCGAGTTCCAGACAAAGCGGCCGAAGTCTTCACACCGCTGCCCGCAAGTCCTCTTTTCCTTCAGAGTGGCCATGATGGAGCTTCACAGCAAACCTTTTCTCTTTCCTTCTCTCAGCTCAGTAAAGACAGCTGTAATATTTCTTTCTTCCCTCTCTCGTCCCTCTTCAAATCTTCTGAGGAACTTTCAGCTTTTGTGTTAACGTCTTGCGTCCAGTCTCATTCTTTTCTGCACTTACAGTCGGTCCACAGTGTGATGTGTGTTATCTTTCACTATGTATTTATGAGGCCAAGATAAGGTGTACCATGACAGGAGCAGGTAAACTTCCTTCATTAGCAATGACGTCCTTGATTCACTGGAGAAACACCAGGATCACCTTGAAAAGGTTGGCTACTACTGATAACAGGACTGATTTAAATCACTGCAAATCCAAACAGAAATGAAAACCTGAGTCAGTTTGGCCTCTGAAACATTTGACTAATTCTGATGTACTAAAGCACAAACTTTATAGGTACTAGCCCATTTTTTGTGGCAGAGATTCAACAAGATGCTGGAAATGTTCCTCCAGCAGGGATTTTGCTCCATGATGACATGACAGCACCACAGTTTCTGCAGATTTGTTGGCTGCACATCTGTCACATCCTAAAGGTGCTCTACTGGGTTGAGCGTAGGTTATTTTAATACAGGGCTGCAAAAACTTCAAACTCAGTTTCAGGTGGAGGCTCCGCCGGCTTGCTTCACTGCTACTAAGTTCATATATTTTAATGACACCAGCTACTCCAGCTACTATGAAGCATTGTCATGTTCAAGAATCCAGTTTGAGGTGATCTGAGCTTTGTGACATAATACATGATCCTGCTGAGGTCCTAAAGGGATCTAGTGTCCAAATGTTGCTCAGAAATTGAGACTCTGGCATTTTTCAGCGTCAGGTGCAGTCTTCTGCTGTTGTAGGTTTGATGTTTCGTGCATTCAGAGATGCTCTTCTCCATACATTGGTTGTAACAAGTGATTGTTTGAATTACTGTTGCCTTCATATCAGCTTGAAGCAATCTGGCCATTCTCCTCTCCTCTAACCTCTGACATCAACAAGACATTTTTCCCCAGAGAAAACTGCCGCTCACTGGAAGTTTTTCTTTTTTCTCTCTCTGTTTCCTTTCCTTTCTCTTTACCCTAGAGATGGTTCTGTGGGAAAATCCCAGCAGATCAGCACTTTCTAAAATTCTCAGATCAGCCTGTCTGGCACCAACAACCATGCCACATTCAAAGTCACTTAAATCACTTTTCTTCACTTTCTTAATGTGCAGTAACAGGTGTACCTAATAAAGTGATGGAGAACTTTGCTCTCTCTCTACACTGCTGTCATTACTGTCCCGCTACATATGCATATTTTTACCTAATTTGTCTCTTTTTCCTCTTTCATTTTCTGCCTCTACTTTCCATCGTGTTCCCTCACACCTTGTTCTCGTCCCGCCTCCGGCACAGAGCACATGGTCGGGCACGGGGCAGAGCATTACAGAGATTCAGCGTGGATAAGTGTCTTTGAGGAAAGGCGATGAGTCAGGTAGATCTGCATGTGTGTGTGCATGTGTGAGAGGCAGAGACTGTCAGGGAGGGAAGTCACTCTGCAGTGAGCAGATGCTCACATGTGCGAGTCACTCTGCTTCTGAATCACCGGAGGAAGAAGTCCTCTCTTACATCACTTACTTCTCTGTGATTTTTGTCTGCATTTTGCGATTTCTTTATTTCGGTTCTCATTTGCAGACTTTCCCATCTGCTTTTTCTTCCCTGTAACACTTTAGTTGCATCTCTTTATCCTTCCCTCCTTTTCTCTTATCCACCATGGATATGGTGGCTTGACGACAGTTGTGGCCAACTCTGCCTACATCTCGGCCCGCGGAAGCTTTGATGGCACTGCCAACCCAGCGGCCAACCGAGACAAGAAGTTCCACTCCCGCCTGAAGCTGCTTCACATCACGGTGTGCGAGGGACTGCGGGAGACTTTAGACCTGGGCTTCCAGACGGTCTGTGTGGAGCAGCCCATCGGCAAACGTCTCTTCCAGGAGTTCCTGGAGTCCAACAACGAGTACAAAGGCCCCAGCCGTCTGTGGAAAGATATCGAGGAGTACAACAATGCTGAAGATGAAGATCGAGTCAACAAAGCGTGCAAGATCATATCGCGTTATATGGAGCCTGATGCCAAGTATTACTGCCCCTTTCTGCCAGAAAATGGCATCACGAAGGTCAAAGAGAAGCACCAACAGGCTTCTGACGACCTTTTCAACGAGACCATGGACAGTGTGATGGACTTCCTCAAGGAAGTGCCCTACACGTTTTTCCTGGAGAGTATGTACCTGAAGAGGTTTCTGCAGTGGAAGTGGCTGGAGATGCAGCCCATGGGAGATGACTGGTTCATGGATTTTCGTGTACTGGGGAAAGGGGGTTTTGGGGAAGTCTTTGCCTGTCAGATGAGGGGCACGGGGAAACTGTATGCCTGCAAAAAGCTCAACAAGAAGAGGCTGAAGAAGAGAAAAGGCTATGAGGTAAGGAGTCATGCCACCTGCTCTATTATAGGTCCAGCAGTTCATGAAGTTGTTCAAATACAGGAACCTTTTTGATTTAGTTTCCATGAGGTTCTGCAGGACTTTTACCTGCAGTAGCTGACCAGCCTACCTGTCTAAACAGTCAGTGTTAGGATAGAGGCTTACAGGTGAGCACCATGGGCTTATATGATTAGTCCTCTCGGCATTAGTACATTTTGATCTCCTTATAGCATAAAGTGCCAATCCTGTCATGTTTATAAATGGAGCGGACCTCGACTGAAGTCTCCTGTCTCTAGTCATCAAAGCAGACACAAGAAGACGCTGCTAAAGTTGGAGAGCTGGTGCAGCTGGAAATGCAAGTTCAGATATTGTTACTCACAGAGTTTCTCATGTCTCCTGCTGTCTCCTCTGCTGCCTGCAGGGCGCGATGGTGGAGAAAAGGATCCTGGCCCGAGTTCACAGCAGGTTCATCGTCTCTTTGGCGTATGCCTTCCAGACGAAAACAGAGCTGTGTCTGGTCATGACCATCATGAACGGCGGAGACCTGAGGTTAGATCATCTTTTCTCTTTGACCCATCGTCCTCACCTTTTCAGGCTCATAGAGGTAATTTAACAACTTGCAACCCCAAAACTAAGAATTATTATTGCAATATAGGGATTTTTGCCTTGGATGAACCTACAACATCTCTCTCTGATCGCATTAGGTACCATATCTATAATGTGGATGAGAACAACCCGGGATTTGAAGAGCCACGAGCCTGCTACTATGCTGCGCAGATCATCCAGGGCATGGAGCACCTCCACCAGAAGAGGATCATCTACAGAGACCTCAAACCAGAGAATGTGCTGCTGGATAATCAAGGTAAAACACTCGTGAACAAGATGACTCCAAGGTAACTGTCTAGTCTGCAGTGCTCATGCCACCACGTAGAGACAATGTAAACATGAAAGAAGCGATAGTATGAGGTCAGCAGCTGGTTACCTGCAGGATCATAGATATCACATTTAAACAATTTTCAGACTGGTAATACAGTCACGTGAAACCTATTTCCACTTCTTGCAAGGACACAGGAAAATCCTATGTTTAACATCTGGCAGTGACCATCAGTTATAGACACAGACAATAAGAGAGGCACTCATGGGACTCGAAGGATCCTGATTTCTGTGAGAGAATTCCACAACAGGAAATATGACCAGAGAAGAAATTAAAACCATATTTCAGAGCTTTTTTTTTTAATCAAAATTGATTGAACATCCTTTACACACCGTTTGTATGTTCGAGTCAGCATATATATTTTATATATAATTTAAAAATCGTTACATTTCTGCATGTTGTAAAATCAAGAGGTTTTTGAGAAGGAGCTAGACTCCTGCACTTCCTCCAGGCTCTAGAAAGTCTAACTCCCTACAAGATCATCAGCCTTCCCAGATTAGATCAGGTCAGTCTACAGCAAGTGTGCTGCATAAAGTCTTATTTTTTTTAGCCCAAATAATGCCTGTGCTTCTCTGGTGGGAGGGGCTTAGAGCGAAGAGGGGAGAGCTACAGGGGGCATCAGCTTTCCTGTTTTTGCAACCTGTGGCACCGTTCTGTGGTTATCCTGCAAAACATAGTTCATTTCAAATTTGCACAAAGGATTTATTGGAGGGCTGATATTATCATCCAGTATTAGCTATTTACCGATTTATTGGTATCTGCATTTATAACGACTGCTGAATGAAAATTGAAAAAGTAAAGAAGAGATGGAAGAAACACCCTTCGACCATTGTGTGACTGCTGATGTTGCATAGTTTGCTCACTAGAGGGCAGACTGCAAAAAAACGACAACAAGCTCATCCATTTTTGTTTCATAAAATTGAAAATTTTATATCAAAATTGAGATATCAGATTTTTAAATAACACAAGATCGATATCAGTCTTGAAAGTCAGATATTGTTCGGACTCTAGTATTTATTGTGTTTTTAAGATTCCCTAATGACGCATTTAGCCTTAGATAGCGCGCTATATGTTGCGATAATGGTAAGAATTATGCTTCTGTCTCACCTAGCTTTATGCTAACGTGTTTTCCAAAATGGTGAACTATTTCTAAAAACCATTACAAAAGCCTTGTTGTAGCTGCTTGTGCAATTACAGCTCTTCACCTTGACTTGAAATAGCCTC